GAGGGGGTAACAGGGATTGAACTCAGGGGCACTTGACCACTGAGCCACATCCCCAGCCCTATTTTGTATTTTATTTAGAGACAGTATTTCACTGAGTTGCTTAGCACCTCACTTTTGCTGAGGCTGGCTTTGAATTTGAGGTCCTCCTGTCTCAGCCTCCTGAGCCTCTTGGATTACACACATGCACCACCTCGCCTGGCTCTTGAGTCATTCTTGATTTCTCTTTTTCTTACCTGAACATTCAAGCCAGCAGCAAGTACCACCAGCTCTGCTCCACAACGTTTCCAAGTCTATCTGCTAATGTCTGCCTTCAGCTCCATACCTTCATCCATGCCACCATCTCCCTTGCCACATAGTTACAGTAGCTCTTAACTTACCTCCCTGCTTCCAGTCTCAGCATCAGAGTGGTCCTTTTAAAACAGAATTCATTGTCACTTTTCTGCTTAACATCTCCAGGGATTCCATTGCAAGGGTTGGGGGGAGAGCATCTGAGATTCCCCCTACCATCTCTGAACAAACTTTTCTTCCTGCCCCAAGGCCATCACGCTTGCTCATCACGTTAGTGGTGCCTTCTCTTAACTCAAGACTTTCATTGCTGTGCCCCTCTCCCCATTTATGGTCCAGTTTCCTTAGAATCCCCATGCTGAGGCCTGGAAACCTGGGTATTAAGGAAGCTCCCCAAGTGATGAGTAAGATCCACTCCCTCAATTTCTTCAACATTTCCTACCTTCCTCTTTAGGAAGTTCAACCCGGAGCCAAAAAAGGGAGGCCCGCCTGGACAAGGTCCTCTCAGACATGAAGCGACACAAGAAGCTGGAGGAGCAGATTCTTCGTACTGGGAGGGACCTCTTCAGCTTGGACTCAGAGGACCCCAGCCCAGCCAGCCCCCCACTCCGGTCATCGGGGAGTAGTCTCTTCCCTCGACAGCGGAAATACTGACTGTTGTTTCTACTGCCTCTAGAATGCAGAGACTGTATCTGCTAGGGCCTGAGTCCTCTTTTCCTAACTTTCCTAACCCAGGATGCTGGGAAACTTGGGAGAAAGAACCCCAAGCTCCCAACACAGCACCTTGCAGTGTAATGCCAGATTCGTGGGACCCCAATAGACCTCCAGGAGCCGAATCCAATGCAATCACACAAGAGTCTTTATTGTAAGCTCGAGCCTGGACTTACAACCGTTTCCGGCGCAGTGGTCCCAGGAAGTGAGTTCAGTGAGATTTTATAGGTTTTGAGGGGATACTCTATGCTTCACAACATCACACAGCAAATCATTCCATATCGCTGAAAAATCAAACAACAGCTCTTAATATTGATTAGCACATTCACTGGCGGGAACAAGTTAGGTAGGGGTGATTGGTTAGTACTGGGGGGGGGGGTTCCTTTGAACTGATTGGTTTAGGCCACGAGGGGTGTACCTGCTAAACTACATGGTTTCCCAACATGTTATCAACCACCATAAACTACGGGGGGGGGGGGTTCATCTGGCATCCCAGGTATTTTCCCTGACTCATGCTGACTGGAAGTCCTTAGGGGGTTGCTATGGGTCCTCACCTAGCTTAACTGAGTCAGGGACACCTGGCACCACAGATTTCTCCTGTTATTTGTAGACAAACAACTCAGCAGGGTGGGTATGTGCCTAGGAGTGCTCTGGGTTTTTCCAAGGACAAGGGTCACGTCCCCTTCCTTAGGACAGGCCTTGAGGTAGAAGCTGCTGTTATTTATTTTCAAAAATGGAGTCACATCAGTTTTTCAGCAGGAAAGAGGGTGTGTGTGTGTGCATGTGTGTGTGTGTATGTGTGCGTGTGTGTGTGTGCGCGCGTGCGGGCGCGCATGCATGTGTGTATATTGGGTTGAATGTCTATTTGGAGACCTGGGTGAAATTTTCTGAATCTAAAATAAAATATGCAAACTTACCTTCTCTCGAGGGGGCTGCAGCTAGAGCCCAAACAGTTGGCCACACTTGAGCAGAAAGGTAGAATCTTATTCACCCAGATTGGACAATGAAAGCCACATGTGGTAGAGGAGAACTCAGTCACCATCTGCCCTCCTATCTCGGGCCTTCTGATCCTCCTAGTCTCATTCCAGTGCCGCC